TTTTATTTTTTATTATTATTGTACTGGGGGTACATTGTGATATTTATAAAAGTTATTACAATATATCATAGTCATCATTCTCCTTTATCTCTGTCCTCATTCTTGAAATAGTTTCAACAGGTCTAATTTTTCCATTTACATACATATGTACACAAAATTTGCACCATATTCAAACTTGTACAACCATTCTCCACCCCCTTCCCCTCCCACTGGTACCAGCCCACCAGACAGGACCTGTTCTCTCCTCCTGTTCTCCACTTTTGTTGAAAAGTTACATTTTTGTTGGATTATGATAGCATTACTTTGGTTTCCTTTTGACATTTTCATGTCATGTATATGTATCATAACCCAATTGTTTCATCTCTTCTAATTTTCTTCTTTCTACATTCCCCTTCTTTTGGTGATTTCAACAGGTTTAAAACTTCTATATTCATTCTTTATAGGAAGTACATCAACTTTATGCACCTTCTTAACTTCTTTTACCCCCCCCCCTCTCTTGTGTGTGACTTTCCCTTAGCATGACATGTTTTTCACAATATTGCTTGTATTTGTTTTTGGTTTGTATTCCACATATGAAAGAAAATATGCATCCTTGGCTTTTTGTACCTGTCTAACTTCACTTATGATGATGTTCTTTAGTTCCAGCCATTCACCTGCAAATTACAAAATTTCATTCTTCTTTATGGTTGAATAAAATTCCATTGATATAAATACAAATTTTTCTTAATCTATTGATCAGTAGTGTAGCATCTTGGCAGTTTCCATAGCTTAACTACTGTGAATAGTGCTGCAATAAACATGGGTGTGAAGTTGCCTTTATTGTAATCCGACTTACCTTCCTTTGATTATATCCCTGGGAGTGGTATTGCTGGATCGTATGGTAATTCTATTCTTAGGTTTTTTTTTGTTTGTTTGTTTTTTGAGGAGCCTCTGTACTGTTTTCCATAATGATTGTACTAATTTACGTTCTCTCCAGCACAATGAAGTTTCCTTTTCCCCCATATCCATGCCAATATTTGTTGTTGTGCTCTTGCTGACAGCAATTCTAACAGGAGTGAGGTGAAATCTTAAAATGGTTTGGATTTGCATATAAAAACATTTCTCATTTTTTGACTGACATCTTTTTTATGGCTGTGATGAGGGTATACTGTGGCATTTACAAATGTTCTTACAATATACCAAATACATCATACTTGTATCACTAGCACATATGCTAAAATTGGAATGATACAGGTAAAATTAACATGGCCCTGGTGCAAGCAAGGCAGGTAAATTTGTGAAACATACCATATTTAAAAAATGTCTGAGAAAATTTCTTAAAAAAAGAGTTACCTTGACAACTTCATAAGATGAACAAGGCATAATTTTTCCATTTTTAAAATCATCATAGAAAAATCATTCCCATATCTACTCTTTTATTTCATTGGTATTGAAAAGTCATGGTCATGAGTTTAGAGTTTGAACGTAGATTCTATATGTTAGAATAACAAGATAGATTCTATTCTTTCAATATCATAGTATAATTTGAATCTGTGACTAATCTTCTCCCAGGCCTTCATCCAAGATGGTCACTGAGGAAAAGGTGTTGGGACAGAGCTGGGAAGAGACATTAATTTTATCTTCCTGCTTTCAAAACTCTGAAAGAAGAAATCTGTCTTGTTTTCAGCCAGCATATTTGTCATCCTGTTTTTACAATACATCGTAGAAACTTGATTTGTGGGAAAGTGAGTAGCTAAGGATTCTTTCATGTGTTTTGTATTTACTCATATTCATACTTTATTCAGATTTCCTTATTTTTTAATTAATGTCTTTTTTATGTTTCATGATCTCACCCAGGATACTTTATTATATAGTCATCATAGTTCTTTAGGTTTCTTTTGGCTTTGACATTTTATTAAAATTTTCTTCTCTTTGATAACTACTAAGAACTGAATTGTATTAATGTGATGAAGGACTATCGCCCAATGTGATGGTATTTGGAGGTGTGTCCTTTGGGAAATAATGAGGTTTCATTGAGGTCATCAGGATGAAGTCCTCATGATGCAATTGATGCCCTCTTAATGAGCAATCCACCCTGCCTCCACTGTCCTCCATGAGAGGACAAGGCAAGAAGCTGAGTATGTATACTCAGGGAGTGCCTTTACCAGGGTTTAGTCATGCTGGCTCCAACTCATGTTATCTTTTATTACAAAAACAAGAGTTTGTAGAATCTATTTTATTCTCCACCCATGTAATGTGAATGAGCAGTAGTTCATAAAATGAAAGAAAGAAAATTGACCTCATTGGAGCAGTCATGAAGTAAAATTGTAAAGTTTAACAAAGGTCAAGGGCATATCACAACTCACTAGAAACTGATTTAGACACATTTGCTCAGCTCTCATATTCTTGGCCTTGGAAATTGGGAATGTCTTTAAACCACATACTGTTTGGATCTCCCATGTTATGGTATCCTAGCATATTGACTGTGCTGTCAATATGCAATTGACTAATGATGATTTATGTTTTCTTAGTTTCCTTTATTTTGCACATAATACCAAGTTTATAATTTATTTTTCAAGTATGCTCTCATAAATTATGGAAACTAAAATCTGGGTAGCATCTTTGGTCTTTGTTATTTCTATTGCTTTTTATTCATACTCAAATTATCTTTTTGTTTTTAGATGCCAAAGAGCTCTGATTTAGTGATCTATTGACTCTTAAAAATTATATGTAAGACAAAAACACCTGCACACACATGTTTATTGCAGCATTATTCACAATAGCTACGCTATGGAAAATGCCAATATGCCCCACTACTAATGAATGGATTAAAAAATCTGGTATTTATATACAATGGAATTTTATTCAACCATGAAGAAGATTGAAATTTTGTTGTTTCAGATAAATGGATGGAACTGGAGAACATCATCTTGAGTGAAGTTAGTCATGTTCAGAAAACCAAAGACCTCATGTTTTCATTCTTATGTGGAATATAGTTTTAATACAAATACAGGCAATACAAAATACACATATAAATATGTACAGAACATGTATGTAAAAGTGGGGCTGGTAGAGAAGACCAAGGAAAAGGAAAAGAAGGAAAGAAAGTTAACAAATAACAATGAAATACATCTTATCTGAGTAGTAACAGACACAAGTTAGCACACTGAAACCTGTTAACACAGGATGGGGGAATGGGTGAGGAAGTTTAGCAGAGGGGTATTACATTGACTGATGCACAGTGCATGCATACCATAGCAGAAACACCACTGAACAGCAACAGACACCTAAACAACAAAGGACAAAACTGAAAAACAGTTCATGTTAAGGGGAGGACACTAACAATAGGGGGAGGGCCAATGGAAGAAGTAAAGAAGGTGAATATGGTTGATGTACTTTCTATACAAGCATAGATATGGAATTTTTAAACCTTTTGATATTAGCAGAAGAAGAGAACTAAGGGAGACAGGAGAAAAATGGAGGGAATAAACCAGTTCGGTATACAATACATATATACATGGAAATGTCATAAGAAAAGTCTCTGTATAAATATCTTAAATAAATCAAAATGTCTTTTTTCAAAAGCAGAAGACAGGAAAGCAAAACAGGTCCTGTCTGAGGATTGGTACCAGTGGGAGGATATAGGGAAAGGGTTTAGGTGGGTGAATACGGTGGAAATATGTACACATGTATGAAAGTGGAAAAATGAGATGAGTTGAAACTTTTCCAAGAATGGGGGGAGGGAAGATAAAGGAGAATGATGGAAGGGGTAAATTTAACTAAGATATATTGTAAGCACTTTTGTAGATGTCAAGATGTATGCCCAGTACAACAATAATATGATGATAAAAATGAATAAAAAATTAAGTAAAGAAAAATTATAAGGTTTCTCGAGGAGTTAGGATGTTCAGGCTCTTCCCCGAATAGGATTTCTCATGGTCACCTTATTAGTAAAGCTAAACCAGTTTCAAGATTGCTGCATTCTAGACATGTGTTTCCAGGGTAAAAATGCTTGGCAGTGTTGATTTGCAGCCGTTACTTACCAAAGTAATCTTATTTCTTTTTTTTTCTCTTTTTTTTCCATTTCCCAATTAATGGAAAGCTTTTTGGTTACTCTATCTATGGAATGGATAGATTCTGGTTTCTCTTTGCTTCACAGTTACTTTGAGATTAGACCCTCTTTTACCAGAGGCTTTAATTATAATTACAGGATTCCTTCCAGAGTGAATTCTAGGCCTGTCTTTGCCCATGCATATCATGGAAACAGAAGCGCAAATGTTTGCAGTGTTCTTCAATGGCTTCAGAATAAGAGGGACTTTGGAATTTTGACATTTTTTGGTCATAGATAAAAAAATTTATTCAAAGTTGTCATTTTGTTTTTCTCCTTTCACTTCTTTTCTTGACCCCTTTCCTCTCTCTACCTCCCTCCATCTCTTTTCTCTTCTCTTTGTTCCTTTCTGCTTCTGTCCTCTTCTTTTCCTTTTGTTTGTTTTTTGCTTTTGTTTTGCTGTTTTTCTATCATGGTTTATTATTTCACCAAGACTGATGATGCAAGGTCCCTAATCTATCATTTCTGTAAAGCTCAACACATTTGGACAACTTTATTTATTTAAACTAAAGTTACAACCCCCCACACCTTCTTTTGGTTTTTGTTTTTGAGCAGTGTCCCACTATGTATCCCAGGGTGGCCTCAACTAAGCTTAGCTTTAGTTTCCTCCCTCAGCTTCTTAAAGTCCTTCTTTAGATCAACTAGTGGTTTGTGATTTGGAGCTTTTAAGTTGACCTGAGGGTTCTAAGTTGACTTCTATGTCTTTTCTAGTGGCACAATTGCCCACTCTTTGATGATATTTTTGGCTCTTGATTTACATCAGTTACTTTCACAACCCACTACCAAGGCAGTTTGCTTCCTTATTTTCTGATTGCTTTGCATAACCCCTCCAGGCCAAGTCAAACTGCTCACAATTTATAAACATGGCCTTTGCACTGAGAACAGAGCTGCATCAGTCAGGAAGGGCAGCAAGATGGTGTCACAGACCCAGGTCCTCATGTCCCTGTTGCTCTGGGTCTCTGGTGAGAAATTTATTCAGTGCTTTAATTTCTTCAGAGTAACAGCTATATAAAGTTGAAAAAATGATTTTAAGATACAGTGGGAAATGATTGTTTTCAATATGGACCAAATATTGTGCTGTCTTACAGTACCATTAGAAAGTGCATTTAAATGCCATGTTTCTGTGTGTGTATGATCATTGTACATTCTTGATTGCAGGTGCCTGTGGGGACATTGTGATGACCCAGTCTCCAGGCTTCCTGGCTGTGTCATCAGGAGAAACGGTCACCATCAACTGCAAGTCCAGTCAGAATATTTACAATGGTATAGCCTGGTACCAGCAGAAACCAGGTCAGGCTCCTAAACTGCTTATCTACGCAGCCTCTAGCAGGCCATCTGAAGTCCCTGACCGCTTCACTGGCAGTGGGTCTGGGATAGATTTCATTCTCACCATCGGCAACCTCCAGGCTGAAGATGTGGCAGATTACTACTGTCAGCAGGGTTATAACTGTCCTCCCACAGTGCTTCAGCCTGAATCAAAAACGCCTCCCAAGGTTATGGGTCAGTGATACTTGCAGCACCAGTTACTTCCTCCTCACATGATCCTGACCTTGCATCATTTTGTCTGAGAGTTTGCATCTGCTGATGTATTCCTTGGAGGGCTTGCAGCATCTAGGAGAAAATTCAGGAGTTGACCTTTATCTGTATACTTTTTATGGGAGATTATTGAATCTTTTCACCTTTATTTTAAACCTATAATCACTCCTCACCTCTATCTTTCTCAGTATTAAACCCCTGACCCTTGTTCCAAAAATTGGACATTGAAGTTCTTATTTCCCTATTGGTTTTTCCTTCCACACACCCTGTTTTCCATTTATGCCCTTCTAGTCTGTTTTACACAAAATGCTTTCCTGCTCTAACTACCCCTTTCCTTCCCTTTTCTCTTCCTATTTCTTTCTGTAATACTCTTTCTCTCATAGGCAATCTTTGAATTCTTTAATTCAATCAGTATAGAAATATGTGACTGAATTTCCCCTTAGATTTTCCCATCATTTATCAATTTTCTCCTGAGTTCCTACTTGGGCACCTGAGTCTAATTTGTGATTGACATTGTTGTCTTTTGTCCACTATAACTGGAGTTATAGTATGCAATTATCATGGCCATGTCAGTGCTATGGGACATACTCCAGCCATCCTAGTATTATGTTTTTAATTGTTTATAGATTTATTCATATGTTTATGCATTGTTTGGGCCATCTCTCCCCCTGCCCCTTGCCCCTTCCCTGGTCTCCCCCTCGCTTTCAGGCAGAACCTTGTCTGTCCTTTTTTCCAATTTTATTGAGAGAAAATATAAGAGATAATAAGAAAGACATAGCATTATTGCTACCTTGAGATAAAGATAACTATACAGAGAGATTCCTAGCATTGCTTCCAAGCACTTGTGTATTACAGCCACATTGGTTCATTTCTACCAGACCTCTTCACTACTTCCTGGTCACCTTCCCATAGTGACCTCTGGCAATTTAAGATTACTTTATTCACTCTTCTACAGTGGGAACAACAATATCAAGTTTTAGGTTTCCTTCTCTTTCCCTCTTCCTCCTGGGTGTGTTCTCCCCTTAGTGTGTGAACCGTGTCCAATAATATGACCTCATTTGTTTTAGGTCTACAATCTGCACATGAGAGAGAACATATGAGTTTTGGCCTTCTGAACCTGGCTAACTTCGCTTAAGATGATATTCTCCAGTTCCATCCATTTACTTGTGAATGACAAAATTTCATTCTTCTTCATGGCTGAGTAAAACTCCGTTGTGTGTAAATACCACATTTTCTTAATCCATTCATCAGTAGTGGACATCTTGGCTATTTCCATAACTTGGCTATTGTGAACAGTGCTTCAATAAACAAGGGTGTGCAGGTGCCTTTGTAATAACCTGAGCCACATTCTTTTGGGTATATCTCTAGGAGTGGTATTGCTGGATTACATGGCAGATCTATGTTTAGTTTTTTTTTTTTTTATGAAGCCTTCATATTGTTTTCCAAAGTTGTTGTACTAGCTTACAGTCCCACCAGCAGTGTATGAGGGATCCTTTTTCCCTGAATCCTTGCCAACATTTGTTGTTGGTCATCTTAGTATTATTTCTTCATCTCCATCTAAAATACTTGGGAGAATGAAATTTAGTTCCAGACAAGATCTCAGCAAACTTGAGTAATACATTCTTTCATACACCACAACTTCTCATGCTAGTGGGAAATATTTAAAAATGTTGCTATTAAGAAATCTACATTTGTTTATTCATTGAGTTCTTCCTATATGTCAAATTAAAAATTATCAAATTTCACTTTATTTGGGGGAAAACAAGAGTCAATAATTGCTATTGAACTAATAAGTGAATTATTAATATGCAGTAGAAAGGACATACAAATCAGCTGCATTTCATTTAATAAATACCAACTTATCTGAAAAGTAAATGAGGAAAATGATTTTGTTTATGATGGTATCAAAAAATAAAATAATGCCAAGAACTTTGGTCCTACCTTTAATCCAAGCTATTTGAAAGGCAGAGGTTGAAGAAAGTTTCGTGGTCAGCATGGGCAAACAGTTAGTGAGACCATATCTCAATAAATAAGACAGGCAGTGATGACACACAACTGATCTTAACTATACATGAGGCACAGGTAGGAGTATTGTGGTCAAAAGTGGACATTGGCAAATACATAGCCCCTATTTGAAAGTACCCTAAAAGCAAAAATATCTGAGGTATGGTTTAAGTGGTTGTCTGCTTTCCTAGTAAGCATGAGGCCTTTAATTCAATATCCAGTACTGCCAAATAAAATAACTAAAATAAAAAGGACCTGGAATCAATTTAGCCAAGGAAGTGAAAAATCTATACACTGACACCTAAAAATTCTACTGAAAGAAATTGAAGACTACACAAATAAATGGAAAGATATCCCATGGTTTTGGATTGGAAGAATTAACATTGCTAAATGTTTATGCTACTTAGAACAGCGTACACATTCAATTCCTCTCAAAATTTCTTTTTTATTTTAATTTTTATTTTTTTATTATTCATATGTGCATACAGTGCTTGGGTCATTTCTCCACCCTGCCCCCAACCCCTCTCTTACCACCCCCTCAATACCCAGCAGAAACTATTTTCCCCTTATCTCTAATTTTGTTCAGAGAGTATAAGCAATAATAGGAAGGAACAAGGGTTTTTGCTGTTGAGATAAGGATAGCTATACAGGGAGTTGACTCACATTAATTTCCTTGTGCATGTGTGTTACCTTCTAGGTTAATTCTTTTTGATCTAACCTTTTCTCTAGTTCCTGGTCCCCTTTTCCTATTGGCCTCAGTTGCTTTTAAGGTATCTGCTTTCCTTTCTCTGGGTTGAGGGCAACAAATGCTAGCTAATTTTTTACGTGTCTTACCTATCCTCACACCTCCTTTGTGTGCTCTCGCTTTTATCATGTGCTCAAAGTCCAATCCCCTTGTTGTGTTTGCCCTTGATCTAATGTCCGCATATGAGGGAGAACATACGATTTTTGGTCTTTTGGGCCAGGCTAACCTCACTCAGAATGATGTTCTCCAATTCCATCCATTTACCAGCGAATGATAACATTTCGTTCTTCTTCGTGGCTGCATAAAATTCCATTGTGTATAGATACCACATTTTCTTAATCCATTCGTCAGTGGTGGGGCATCTTGGCTGTTTCCATAACTTGGCTATTGTGAATAGTGCTGCAATAAACATGGATGTGCAGGTGCCTCTGGAGTAACAGTCTTTTGGGTATATCCCCAAGAGTGGTATTGCTGGATCAAATGGTAGATCAATGTTTAGCTTTTTAAGTAGCCTCCAAATTTTTTTCCAGAGTGGTTGTACTAGTTTACATTCCAACTAACAGTGTAAGAGGGTTCCTTTTTCCCTGCATCCTTGCCAACACCTGTTATTGGTGGTGTTGCTAATGATGGCTATTCTAACAGGGGTGAGGTGGCATCTTAGTGTGGTTTTATTTGCACTTCCTTTATTGCTAGAGATGGTGAGCATTTTTTCATGTTTTTTTTTTTGGCCATTTGAATTTCTTCTTTTGAGGAAGTTCTGTTTAGTTCACTTGCCTATTTCTTTATTGGTTCATTAGTTTTGGGAGAATGTAGTTTTTTAAGTTCCCTATATATTCTGGTTATCAGTCCTTTCTCTGATGTGTAGCTGGCAAATATTTTCTCCACTCTCTGGGTGTTCTCTTCAGTTTAGAGACCATTTCTTTTGATGAACAGAAGCTTTTTAGTTTTATGAAGTCCCATTTATCTATGCTATCACTTAGTTGCTGTGCTGCTTGTGTTCCATTGTGAAAGTTCTTACCTATACCTACTAACTCCAGAGTATTTCCTACTCTTTCCTGTATCAACTTTAGAATTTGTGGTCTGATATTAAGATCCTTGATCCATTTTGAGCTAATATTGGTATAGGGTGATATACATGGATCTAGTTTCAGTTTTTTGCAGACTGCTAACCAGTTTTCCCAGCAGTTTTTGTTGAAGAGGCTGCTTTTTCTCCATCATATATTTTTAGTGCCTTTGTCAAAGACAAGTTGGTTATAGCTGTGTGGCTTCATATCCGGGTCCAGTATCATCTCTATAAAATTCTAATTGATTTCCTGTAGTATTTCTTCTTTTAGCGTGTTCTTGTGAGCTTCATTGGGTTCTTTGGTATAGTTTATCCTCATTGTATTGGAGTCTGGTTCTGAGTATCTGTTTTCTTCATTTCCCTCTGGTTCCTGTACTAAATTTTTGCTGTAGGGAAACTGGTTTCCCTGTTTTTTCTGTCTTCCTGTCATTGTCCTTGGTGTTGTTATTGTCCCTGTACTGTGTGCAATTAAGTATTTTCTGGCTTGTAATAATAGCACTAATGATATTTAGAATGGGAGGGTGAAAGGGGATGGAAAGCAAAGAAGTTAAAGGAAAAGGGAAAAACAAATAATGAAGTAGAAAAAAAAGCAAAACAAAGAAGCAAACAAAAAAAGTTTCAAAGATATAAACAGGGAGAGACAGTGTAGTTATCAACTGTAAGCTGAAAAGTCATTAGAGAGACAGAGGATTGAAAATAAAAAATAAAAAGAATAAAGACAAGAATAAAAATAAAAAATAAGTAAATGAAAGAAAAAATATGTAAAATAAAATAAAATAAAACAAAATAAAAAATAAAAAAAACCCTCCAAGTTCAAATGCAATTAAGTTTCAGTGTTAATAATTTTGGTGTTCGTCCCTCAGCCTCCAATCCTGGAGATGGTGCCTCAGATGTTGTTCTTGTTGAAGAGGCTGCTTTTTCTCCATCATATATTTTTAGTGCCTTTGTGAAAGACAAGTTGGTTATAGCTGTGTGGCTTCATATCTGTAGTTGCCTCATCAAAGTGGAAACATAAAGTAGAACAAAACTGCACAAGAAAAAAAACAACCCCAAAAGTGTCCCAAGTTCAAATGCAATACAGTTTCAGTAAATTTTTCAGCATGCAGGTGTAGTTCAGTTGTTGTCTCATCAAAGGTAGGGAGAGAGAAAAAAAAGAGTCT